GATAATGACCTAAAGCTAAGTGTTCATTGTAAATCTACTAATAAAAATCATCTCATAAATTTCTATTCACATCATAGAACCAAAATAAAATTCGAAATAATTATTGGACTCGATTTAAGAACCTTTAGAATTCATATCTCTCACTATTTAAATCATGAAGAGAAACACGTTGAAAATACTTTTAAGCTCCTCTAATATTCTGATTATTTAATATTTAACACGGAACGGAAAAGCTCATCCAACTTTTAAAATAAAACAATAAACGATATAAACAAATTTGATGCAACTAGACACATACTACATTATCAATATTATCACAACTACGTTTGAAAAGAATTCATCTAAACTTAATATAAAATTAGTTACAATTACTTTTAAAACAATAATACAACTTAATTAATACAAAGCAAAATAATAAAAACTTAAAACGAAGTAGGAATGAGTAAATTATAGACTATAATAATTGCTACAAAAAATACACTGGAGAGACTTCGAAGAATTAAAATTGAAAATTTTGTGAACAAAAAGAAATCTTTTACAATAAACTCAGTGGGTTAGTTGCTGACTGCAATGAGGCTGGCTATTAATTTCGATGTGAAAAATCTGCTTTAAATCAAAAAGTATAAAAATGTATAGAAACATGCACTGAATCATGTACGGTAAATTTTTGTCCGGGTTCTTTCAAAACATTCTTTTGGCAGATCTGTTGTCACAATTTAAATATTTAATATATTTAATATAAGTATTTAAATACAGTAGCGGCATAAAAAACATAGATCAGCTAATTTGTGCGTATAGACATGTTTGGCGTTAAAAATTAAAAAAAAAAAAAATTTTAATTAAATTTTAAAAAATTTGAAATTTAGTGTACACACACCTTCAGTGCTTCCCCTTAGTGCATAATTAAAACCGGCGTTTACGCTTATAGCTCCCCTCACTCCTACATAAACATAATTCTACCATTATGAATATTACTTTAGTTTGATGAAGTTATTTTAGAGGATGAAACGTGTTTCACAGAATTTTTCTATTTTGTCATTCAATTACCTAACATTGTTTTGATATATAGGAATTTATATATAAACTTCCATATATTTTTTTTTTCCTTTTTTCGGCGTATGAAGGTCCAGCAGCTCTGTTCTTAGAACCAAACAACCAACCAATACAATTTGATTATAGTGATGAAATCTAATGCAGAACTGACCACACTTTTTGAAAGAGCCGAATACAGCGTGCCACAGAGCACCCAAACGACTCTTCTCAGGTTTTGTCCTTCTAGACCGATTGCAATCGAAGCCTATAGCACCCAGTTTGTCCTGCTATGTACTCATAGCTGGAGGAGAAGAAATGATTCGTATCTTTCCCAAGTGTATCAGCAACTAAGTGAATGCAAATTACTCAACTAGAATTCAAACTCGGCTCAATCCCATCCGTTATAGTACACCGAGCTTCCATTTCCATAAAGAAGAAACTCAGTCTGGTATGTTTACTTTTGTGTTGTTTGATTTTCATTGATCAATCAAGTTTCGACTATTTTAAACCAACATTTGTATAATTTGTGGCATTCCCAATTCAAGAATAGATGACAGGTCTGTCTGAAGTTTCAAGGAAATAACGGAAATCCCGTAAATATAAGTATAAAAATTCTAGTTTGTCTATGTGGGAATTAGATAATAATGTATATTCGTGTGTGTGTGTATGTGTGTGTGTGTAAACATTATGCTTGTTGGTTTGGGGGAACATTTTTACGTACATAGCGTTGGTTTTAGGTAAACATACGTTAGATTCTTTAAGAATGGATCCAGTAAAGTTTGGCGATGTAATATAATGTTTTTGAAATGTTTTTTTCTAGTTGGCAATATTGTTATCATTAGGCACTCAAAGTACTTTCTCCTGAAATAATTATGTTCATCTTTAATTAGGGTGGCATTAGTAAAATCAAAGTTAGGGACACTTTTCCTCCTGTGAATCACGAGAGAGTTTGAAGGATGTCTAAACGAATGCACGTGAAACATGATAGACCAATGAAAATCAAACAATGCAATTAAAAATCACATAATTTCTTTCTTCTTTTTCTCCATTTCTCATTCTTTGTTGAAGCATTAATAAAAGAGAAACGTGTTAAATGTTTCCTATTTGTTCTTTATCTTATCATTCTATCGGATATCCCAACTTATATATATATATATATATATATATATATATATATATATATATATATGGGGAGAGAGAGAAAGAGAGGGAAATGCACAAATTAATATATATCTATATAATAAATACCAATGTCAGTGTGTCACTGTGTCACACTTTTTCAATTAAAGGGACACAACTCCCAATAGCTCATCTTCCTCTTCATCTATATAATAAATGCTAACGTGTATCACTGCGTCACACTTTTTCAATTTAAGCGACAAAACTCTCTAATTTCCAAGAGTACATATTAAAGAAATTTTGGATTCTCAAGTTTTCATTGCTGTGATTGTTTTCAGCGATTTTTACACGATTTTTTGCAACGAAATTTTTTGTACGATAAGAATTTTTATAACTTGGAAATAAATTTGGGAATAATTGAAATTAATTGCGAAATCCAGCGAAAGTCACCCATGAAATAAAATAATTGTTTGTACGGAAGATAAGGACCTACGCACATCAAATTTTAATTAAAAAAAATTTAAATTAAGTTGAGGCAGAAGAATTATCGTTGAACTTTTAAAAGGTAAGGTTAAATATTAATGCAATACTTAAACGCAGCGATCAATTTTGAGTTCTTCTGTAGTTTATCGCATACGACAGCAGTATGCTTCGCAAAAAGAAATCTCTGCCAACAGAAGACCAGATTGCAATCAAAAGAGCCAAGGCTGCAGCGAGTCCCGTGCAAATGAGAACCCAGATCAATCGGCATCCAGGAGAGTTTCAAATGCTGAGAATATGCAAAGATAGGGATTCTCAGACTTAACAAGCCAAAGGCCCCATCAAAAGCTAGCTTAAATGCTGCCTGTTATAGCGGATTTTATGCTAAATATATATATTTTGTTGAATTTAAATAAACCAATGTTATAAAATTTTCATTTTCCAGTCAGGAAATGTTCAACGAATTCATTTATGAAAAATCTTTGTTGTTTGACTCGAACATTCGACTATTTATTTTTAAAAGGAATACATTATTTATCAGAGGCCACTCCTTGTAATGGTGGAGGGGCTTGTGTGGTCCAATGACTGTGAGCGATGCCATCGGGAGTTCTAAACACCTGGTAGGGCTACGCTTGCGGCTGGGTTAAAGACAAAGACACAGACTAACCGCGACCAACCCCAAAGATCCCAACGGTGAGACAAGCGGATGATGATTGCAAAAGATCTCAAAGTTGAACAAGAGGATGAAGAGGACTATACATGATGAACATGTTACAGAAGGCGCCACTCAAAATTATAACCGAGTTAGACAGTCTGTTGCATATTCTGCATGTCTCATTCCATTTATGCCACAGAGGAAGGTCATGAAATCAACTGTGTATGTCAGTCTCATCTTAAACAAAATCACACCATCGGTACTTTTTTCTACTCTTATTTTCTTTCACCTCTAACTCTTACAAAGCCAAACGGCGATAGGGAATGGATGACGGTAGCAGGTTTGGGTGACACTGGAAGTTTCTAGTCCTGAACCTACATGCTTGCGGCAAATTTAGTCATCAACGCCATCATCATAAAGGAAGCAATGAACAAAGATGAAATTAAATTCTTGGATACGAGATAAAGCCGACAACGACATTATTTATTTTTTAACTTTATATTTATTCATTTATTCAGTTAGTTAGCACATGTTGCGCCATTGTGGTCACCCCTCTCGCTATTTCTGTTGTCATTGTTGTTTATAGTTAAATTCTAGGCAAAATAGTGCATTGGCTTGCCGGTTCCTTTTGAATCAGGGATGTCGGTGTTATGTTTTAATGTTGTCTTTGTTCAAAATAGCGAAGAATTAGGAAGGTGGTAGTAGTATCGAATGTACTAGGTAGTGGAAACGAAGAAGAAGAGGTTTATTAAATACAGGGTGCGATGGGTAAGTTGTCGCTATTTTATATTTTTATTTCGCGCATGCATGTTGTTTGTTTTTAATTTTGTCGACTGCACAGTATAGGAGGGTCAGTTGGGTACCGTCCGTGAGAAAAAGAGCACCATGACGCAATTCCTTCCACCATTAAATTTGCAAACGGCATATTGTACTGCTTGGTATCCACGCCGGAATCTCCAATACGAACATTTCAGAGTGTTTAGGTGTCAATCTGAGGACAGTGCAGAGGATTCATAAAGAGTTGGATGATCTATCCAGTCAACATAATGGTATTTGGAGTGATCACTAGTGATGGCGACGTTATCCCCTCCTTTCCTCTTCACACAGAACTCCAGACACAACTGAAAACTACATCAAATGATCTGAGGAGGTAGTGCTTCCATGAGTCAAGAGAGTGGCTACTAGAAGACCCTATGACTGGCAACAGGTTTCTGCACCTTGCCACACAAGCAGGAGACCCCAGTCATGGCTTTCAGACAATTTCTGCGACCACATCACTCCTTATATCTGGCCACCTAACTCCCCAGACTGCAGCCCCCTTGATTATTATGTGTGGCGCGCAGTTGAGTGAGAGACCAACAAAACTCCATGTAACACCAAAGATGAACTGAAGGTAAGAATTATGACAGCATTCACCAACAAACAAGGAGACCGTCCAGGAGATTCCGAAGTCGTCTGCAATTTTAAAATATGCATTGTACAAACATTAGTGTTTTATATATGCGTGCAAGTATATGAACATGAGTGTTCAATATTTTATATTATGTCCGTGTTTATACATTTGTATTTGTATGTTATATGTATAACTTTCATTAGAAATAAATATTATGTCTCTAGCTTTTTTTTTCTTTACATATGCCGATTTATATCATATTTGGTCTTTCACTTGCCTTCCAGAAATACGTGACAAAATAAAGATTTAATGCGATTTCCAATGGCCGTTTTTATAATTGGTAAGTACAATCGAAATTATTTTTTTTAATAATAATTATTTTAGAGTATTTAACTTCAACTTCATTATTCAGGCTTGATATATCAGCAAAACTGTTTGAATTACCTTTATTAGAATTTTCTATCAGATGTGATCACATTTAAAAGTAAAATATTATAATTAGATCTTGCACAATTTATCACAAATTATGCCAAACGGTTAGATAAAACTGGACAATTTAAATGGAATATTTCTAATTGAGTTGTAATCTAAATTAGTGCTCAAGAAATCAAACTGTTTCTAATTGATCATGGACGACAGTTAATATGTATTTTCATTATTGCTACATTTAGAAGTTTTTTTTTTCATATACATATAATGTGCAAGATTATAACAACTTCATAGCTGTTTACTAAGCTTGGTATGGTACAGGTCCACAATACTAGGATACCCAGTTAGAATCGAACACCTGCACTAGCAAATTGGTCCGCAAGACAAGCTTACTAACTATTGCGCGACAACAGTCCTGCCCAACTTTTATCTTGTATCAAATATATTCCAAACTTGAGTAGCTAAGTACGAAAATCTCTAAGAGTTAAAAGTATACTGTAGATAGCTATTAGGAAATGATAAAACTTTATAAGAATATAGAATCAATCACGGTTTCACATTTAAATCACTTGAAAATTGCGATTCAAATTTTTACATTAAAAAATGAGTGAAGTTATTTATTAAACTCATGTCTTCAATGCAAATGCTGTTCTCAATGCAAAATTTTATTCCGTGAATGAAAGCAAGAAAAACTTGTAGCTTTTTCACTTCATTCAGGTAATTCAATTGTCGTTTCTTTATTGGTGGAAATTACATATACCGGCTATGCTTTTTACAGCGAAAACGGACTTTTTGCTACAGATATTAAAAAAGTACACTTAATATTCCTTCAAATCTGATTTATCATTTTATGGATAATTTTTGTAAAAAATATGTCTTTTATTCATTTTAGTTGTTTATATGTTATGCATGATTTTAACAGTTTATAATAATATTAATAAATAAAATATATGTGTAAATATGTTCGCCTCAAATAGAATCACATAGAATTTTAAACAAATTGAACATGGACTCGCAAGCAACTTTTTTAAATACGACATTTACTATATCGGAATATTCTCTAATTAACTAATTAAAGTGTGTAATACTTAAGAAGGTATTAAATAGAAATGTGAATGAAGAGCCGAGAGAATGTTGACCTAAATAGAGAGTTGCAAGAATCGTAGCACTAACGAAGTGAATTTTAAAGCAAGTATTAATAAATACTTATGTAAATATAGCTAGTTTACTTTTGGCATGCATGTTTTAATGGATAAAAATTTATCCTTCGTCACATTACATTTGTATTCCCTACATGCAAGTCGCTAGTGTTCCGCTGGCGGACTGCCGATGGCAACGCCAACGGTCCCCTGGTGGCAGCCACTGGTGGGCCGAGAGAATGTTGACTCAAACAGAGTGGGCTCTAGAGGTCCGCCAGTGACGAAAACACCGGCGGTCCGATAGCGGGCCACCAGATGTAAACGCTAGTGGCATACCACCCAGTGGCGGATTGGTGGCTTGCGTATATATATATATATATATATATATATATATATATATATATATATATATATATATATATATATATATATGTATGTATGTATAAGATAAAATATACGCTTAAGTTAGCCTATATTTATGGTGAAAGGGGCCCAATATCAGAGACAGATCGTATGTAAATGCAAAAATGGACACTGACGTTAATACCAAGAGGCGACAATCTGTTTCATGATTGAACACAGTATCCAGGCCTGAATATTACGTTCAAGCATGAAGCAAAAAAATCCGCCAAAAATAAAATGTAAAATAAGATTTAAAATTTGCAGTCGCAGTTAAAAATGAACACAAAATACAAAAAGATGACTTTCAACTTTCTTGGTTTTGTAAATAAATAAATATTCAAGTTTGTGTCGCCTAGAAAATTGATGAATACGAAACTTGTCGTCAGTCAACTCGAAGTGCGATGTTTTCTACACAAACCTATGGAAAGGAATACCTCACCCAAAAGAGGAAAGCGAAGCGTTTTGAGATCAAAAGGATCGACAACAACTAAACCTAAATGGAAGTTTATCCAAGTCAATAAGCTATATTTGATTTTCTCTTGTAAACTGTAATTGGATTTGCTAAAATCCACGATTTTTCTCTATCAGACACAAGACCATTTCTATGAACATTTCAATTAATAAGACTGTTAACTAGGAAAAGATACATCCACTAAATCCAAACTTAAACAAACACGTTTTAATACAAAAATATATTGCAAAAATGTAAATAAATTGCAGTTTCAAATCTTACCTCAAATATTAGAAGTTCTTTTTTGACTAATTACGAATGCAGCTATAACAATAAACAGTCAGTTTTTTCGTTGCCACTTGGATTTGCAGTTTGTATAGTTGACGATCCGAATTTAAAAATGCTGAAAGTTTGGGAAAATGCATCTACTCACGCATAATACGCATCCCTGATCAAACCTTATAAACTGTACCTCTCCAATTTCATTACGACCAGCATTTCCTACTCTTATTTAAAAAAAAATAGTTTTAAACATAGAATAATATTATTCTAATTTAGTTTTTCTTATTTTATTTTACGGCATTTTTTAAAAGATTTTTTCTAGCTGTGCATAATACGCACCCCTGATTTTGCTTATTATTTTTTAGAAAAAAATGCGTATTATACATGGGGAATCACGGTATATATAATGTCTCTTGATTCAGTTACCAAAATTAGTATTTGAATGACACGAACATTAGAATTTTGGGGAAAACCTTTTTTGTTCATATCGTGAAATTTTCAGCATCACTTCGTATGTATATATATTTTTAATTTTTTGTTATTTATTAAGATTTCGGGAGTTAAGTCAGGTTGAGAACCTCTCCCCAGTTCTTGTATGTATGCGTTTGTGTGTGCGTGTATATGTCTGGAAAATAACAGAGTGTGATCACAGTGATTCATTTTTTTAACAATTTCCGACTATATAAATGTTATAAAATGTTAAATTTAATTTTTGAAATGAGATTACAGAAATATACGAAAATGAGAAACTGAACATAAAATTTAAGCGAAAGATTTAATGCAAAAATCAACATTAACGTATTTAAGGTACCAACATATAAGAACATCATTTTATTATGATGCAGATTTTGCTGTTTATATAATATTAAAGTGTTTTCTATATTCTTGAAGATCTATAAATTCACTTTCATATGAGATCTTTATACCTTTTCAGAATAACCGATTTTAGTTCATATATTCTGATTAATGTCCGTTAATTGCGACTGCATAAATATAGATGGTGTATAATTAAGAAGGTCAGTTGTTGCTTGTGCAATTAAAAAGATAATGCTATAGAAATAGTATGTCATGTTTCATTCACATTCGTAATCCATAAAAGTAATATCAAACAGATGCAAACAGATGCAAACAGATTCAAACAGATCTCAGGAGAGAATTAAATACTTTGTATGCAATATCTTCTTGTTCTATTTCTCTATCAAAACAATTATGTTAAATTTATCTGACTTACTTCATATGGAAGATATAATTTTGGTTATAATATGCATTTTGCACATGTACTTAAGATGTACCAGAGTTCGAATGATGATTTTCTAGTTCCTTCTTACTTGCAATATAACCTAATTTCTGTCGGAATTTTCATGTTCAGCAAATATCATTATTATCTACCTTTCCGTTTGGACTAGTAGACTCTCATTTTCTGCAAGTCCGAGCAAATCAGGTGTGACTAGTCATATGTGAAGGAAAAATGGAATCTTCAACCCCTGTGGAATTAATTCAAAATAATAGAGAAAGAAAAAAATGAAAGAAAAGACGACTGAAAGAATCAACGCCGATTTTAGGCACGAACAAGCTCTTCAGTAAACCTAACATCGAGGAAATCATAATTAAGAAAGAAATGATGCTCAAACTATTTTATTACCTGTGTACAAAAATTAGATTTTTACAAAAGTCAGAATTACATCAATATATTGGTTAAGTAGATTTGAGCGTTGGGTAAGATAATCTCTATCTGGTCGTGAGTTCAATCCTCGGATCGAGTAATAAAGGAAAATCATATATTGTGATTCAATAGAAGAACACAAGCGACACGAAGGCAAAATATACTCAAGAGAATTACCTGATATTCCTTAAGCATAGATAGTAGAATGAGAACAATAATATTACAACATATTATGGACTGAACAAAGTGTCTGGCTCAAAACTCCGATGAACTTACCAAAGATATAACGATCAAAACTTTTTGAGTCTAACAACTAGGATGACCTTACGAATTCAAATGAAAAACAGATAACAATATTACGCATACACACACGCATAAATAGATAATTGCTGGGCTGTGACGCTCTCTATAATCGATCGATCGAATCAAATGGTGTTTTTTGTACAGACAACACGTTTTCTTTAAGTTTTCTCAAGTGCGCAGGTCGGCCAACGTAATACGCACTGTTTAAAATTAAGAAAAAATAATCTATTTCAAACACCAATATTCAATAAAAACGTTTGAAGTAATATATTTGTCTGGACTGAGTAAACGTCAATTTGCAATTACATGATTTCAGAATTTATGAAGGCAAACAATCTTCTTACATTTAATTGTTAGGTCTTTTTTCTCGTTTTCCTCTACTTTCTTTGGGAGATCCTAAATATTTCTTTCTGTGTCTGCCAACACAACCGTGTTCTATGCATATCTTAATGTGTTAAGATTGTGCCCGACATTAATAAATCTCAGGATCACGTCGCTATAAATGTTAAAGAAATCCGTCGAGAAGACGAATCCTTTTCTTATACTTCTTTCAATTTTTGGGCGCTTGCTCAATTCATTTTCTACCAGAATGCAGGCGGATTCTTCTCAGTAAATGTTCCAGCTTATCCTGATATATTTCCCAAATCCGTCAATGTTTCCTAGTATTCATAACAGATCTTTGTACTGTAACTTTTCACATACTTTTACATATCTGCCTATATTATGTACACTGTTTACATTATTCGGACTATTGTCCTCATCTTTGTTGCCATATTCATTTCTAATGAGGTCTTCCAGCTTTCTTGTTTAATCTAATTTATCCATCACTACAGTTCCATTGCCTTTGTCAGCCGGTAGTATGATGATATTTTCGTCCCTTTGTAGGGATCCAATCGCCAGCCTCTCCAGTTTCGTAATGTTTGACATGGGCGGATTGGCCTTCTCCAAGGTCTGTCACACCTTCCACCTCAGTTCATTCGCCTGGACCCGAGGGAAGTTCAAGGCCACCTCCTCGATTCTGGCAATGATATCCAAGTATGTCACTCGCTTGATGGTTGTGCCGAAGCTGAGACTCTTATTTAATACTGATTCCTCGGAGGTACTCACCTGATATTGGTTGATGTTGATTACTGATTTCACTGGTGGGTGATGGACCTTGTGCGTCACCTTCTGATCTTTCAATCTGTTTAATGTTTGTACTTGGCGAGCCTTGACTACATCAAATTCATGTCTGAAGGATTTATCCAGGTCATTTTGGATCCTTCTTTGGTCTTTGGTAATTCTGTTGAAGACATCCGTATACTGCAAACCGACATTCACCGGACAGTACCTCAAGTTCAACTCCCACCATCCATACATCGTAAAGAAAGGGATCGTCAGCTGCTTACAACACCGAGCAAAAGTCGTAAGTGGCGACCCAGAGACATTAGATGAAGAACTGGTCAGTATAAGTAGTACCCTACAACCTAACAATTACCCTAGGTATATGGCATCAGCCCCAATAAACTGGGATAGACGGGTACAAGCGGGGGACATCAACACACAGAAAACAGTCTGCCTGCCTTATGTGAAGGGGTCATCAGAGAAAATACAAAGTATCTGCTGTCCATATAACATCAGGACAACCTTCAAAAGCTGGACGACACTTCACAGATGTCTCTACTGAGTAAGACCCCTACCATAGAAGAGAACATGACTAAAGACTGTGTACGCTATCCCGTGCAGCTGCGGAAAGAAATATAAAGGAGAGACAAGCCGCCCTCTTAAGGTATGGCTTCAAGAACACCAGAAAGCTGTAACACGAGGGGAAGTAGAAAAATCAGGCGTGACTGACCACAGAGAAAAGGGAGATAACCGCCCTCTGTGGGATCAGGTTGAAATCATAGACAAAGAACATCATTGGAAAATTCGTAAACTTAAGGAATCAGCACATATGCTAGGCCACAAAAATCTCCTGAGCCGACCAAGCATAGAAATGAATACAATATGGAAACCAGTAATAAGGTGTGCCAGAGAAAAGCGATAATAACAACAAAAATTGCAATATGAACTCTCGTAAAAACATGAAATGATAACAGCAAAACTTGTAATATGAGCACTGGTAAAAAAAACTGTTGCTGAAGACATTAAGTTTATAATACCCAGACATTTATACACAGATGTTCTCAAGGATAAAGGCGTTAGTTAGATTAGTTTATGAAGAATATATATGGGTTTTGTGCTTATGTACTGCTCGCACAGAAAGCATTCTGATCATAAAAATAGCATTTCTGGTACCGCTGCTTTTAATGAGCGCACACTGACCTTGTCTATTTTAATTCTGCTACGTTCTCCATTCACCAGAATCCACGAGAAAAGCTTAGTTATGCGGCGCATTTATGTGACTGAGAAAGCAGTTTTTTTTTATTTATTCACCATCTTATACGTTTCTCTTTCTGATATTTACTTTGTGATTGTTTGGTTGCTTTTATGTCTTTAATGTTCTTAATATTCTGTAATTTATATCTTATTTTGCATCAGCAACGCCATTTTCTTCAAATATTTTCTTTCTGATCATACTAACCTCTTTATTTTTTCTCAGATATTTTTTGTTATATTCTTAAATTTAGTTTTGTTTTGTTCTCATTTTCTCAATGTTTACAATTTATTTGTAATCTGAAATCTCTGTACAACGTTTCTGAAATTTCAACCTTCAATAACTCAAATTTGAACGAAACATGTCTTATTTTTTATTTTGCGCCATGCAACATTATCATTTTTACAAATACAGTAGATATTTGAATTGAATAAGAAAACATTTATTTTTTTAAAGTGTTAAAAGCTTAAAATTGGCATATTAAAGTGTCCTGTTCTTTTATGAAGAGGACGGAAATAATATCTTTATTTGAATACACATATCCTTCCAAAATTAAATTCGAAAACTACATTTTTAAACATTTGTATTACTCATGAATTATCGCGCAGTAACGAAAGCAGATTTACTTAAAGTAATGGAATGTGAATTTGAAAAGGAAACTGGACTATAAGATGATTAAGAATAGCATACACGAGAGTTTTATCTAAGAGAAGGGCAAAATAGAAAAAGAAACGGGAAACTGAGAAACAAAACGACGGAATGGATTATAGGTATCCAAAATGTTTGTTCACTTAGATAAAATTAGGAACATTTAATTTTAATATTAAAAATTGCTTTGGATTGCGATAAATGACGTAACGAAAATTATCATTTTGAGACAAATGATAATTGTTCATGAATAATATGCAACACCGTAGACCGCTAAAAGAGATCATGGTGTACGCGGAATGTACTAACTATAGTAATGGCTGGATTCATCCAAAGTGTGGGACGGCAGCAAAAGTAAACATTTAGCCCAAGCAATTGCTAAGTCTCCACAGAGAACATACGCGTCGAAAGTGAATTCTTTATCTAATTTTCATAAAAAAAAGTAAAATTATAACTTTTAAGCAAATAAATTACAAAGTTTATGCTCGTACATTAAATAAAGAGATGAAAGAACTTAAAAACTCTTTTGAGACTGAACTAAACTTATGCAAAAGTGACAATGAAAAACCTTTGTGTATAGGTGGAGGTGCGGCTGTGGGTGTTTAAGAGTGTTTGAAAGTTGCAATTTCTTTTATCTTGTCATTCTCTGTGCTAAATATGCTGATGAACTCTTCTCTATTGTATCTAGACTATGAATCATTTTACAGTCGAAATGGCTAGATGTAACCGTAAGTTCTATGTTAAGAGTTTCTTCTCTTGCGACTTCTTTCTTTCTAGCCAAGTTTCATCTTCAAAATTTAAATGCAATGTCAATGGTCGTCTTTAGTTTTTTTTAATACCTGTTCTTTTATTGTTCTCTAACCTTAATAATGTTTTTCTTATATTCTTTCACACTCAGTAAACCCCAATAAGTTAGTGGCTTGATGTGTGAAATTATTATTATAATATATATATATATATATATATATATATATATATATATATAGATAGATAGATAGATAGATAGATAGATAGAGAGAGAGAGAGAGAGAGAGAGAGGAAGGCAAACAAAAAGAAAGAAAGAAACTGATGACATTTTTTCATTGGTTGCTGTTCGGAAAGGCTTATTTTTATTAAAGCAAGTCTTTCCCACTTGGATGGTTGGTACAAACTTTTCCTAATCTTCCATTTGACTATATACTAGTGTTTGACATGATTTCATTTTGAAGACAGTACACCTATTTTATTATACGGACTCTTTGTAAATCTTAGGAAAAGTAAAACTATGATATATCGTTTAAATTTTCGTCTTTCTTTTGCAGGTAGTATATACGTTTACGCTGTAAGTGTGTTATTTCCAGCAATATTGGCATTTGGACCTCCATCTGCAATCTCATACACGCGTCTGTCAGCAGCGAATAACAATACTAAATGCGGTGTGCGAGGACTGGTGATGAATATTTACCCACCAGCAGATCATGCAGGTCGGTGTCAACCCAAGAGAATCAAAACATTTGGTTGCAAAGGACAATGCTATTCGTATACTGAAGTCAACAGTAATCTCACGCGTATAACTCGTTCATGCAGGTAAACTATCATTTTTATAGAATTATACTGTACAAGACGACACAGAATGATTTTGGACCTAAGAAGCCTTTTAAAAAGAATATTTGTTGTTCAGGCGTTCATCTTAGCTTTAAAAATGGAAAATCTTTCCTGAAGTTTTATTTTAGTTTTATTTCAAGCTAATAGACTAAATTTAACATTTCTAATAAGCAAAATATTTTGCTGTATTTCAAAACGAATTTGAATTGATTGGAATTAGTTATTTTTGAAATCGCTAAAAATGGCTGATTTTAGTTATAGTTTCACGATGCAATTCAATTTATTAAAATAAAATATGCTTTTCTGAAATGTTATTTAAGGAAAATTAGCTGACTTAAATTTTAATTCTGATCTGATTTGAAACAAATATTAATTACGTTTAGTTTAAAATATCACAGAAAAGCATTTTTAACACAGAGGTAGGTGTTTTTCTCAGGTATTGGCAATTATCTCGATAGACTTATCTTTGAATTTTTTCTACAAGAGGTATATCAGTAAAGATTAGTTGACGAATATAACGTGAGCGCCTTTTTTACATATTTCTTTTAATTATCCAGTAATCTTTAAAAATTATGAAAATATTCGAAGTATTCTGATGCTTTATTGGATTTTTAGGTACTTTGGCTGTGAATTTACTATAGTTTAGCTCTTGTTTTCTGATAGTGTCGCGCATGAACGTCCATATTTATAAAAATCGGCACGTTTATACACACAAAAAAAAACTTCAAAATTCATTTTAAAATCGCTGAATTGTAGTAAGCTTTTCCATTTATGATTAATATAGTTTTTACTTAATAAAAAATATCTCGGTAGAAATTAATACAGAATTTTGAACAATTTAAATCTTTATAAATTTATAAATTATTCAAATTCATATTTTTTAATAAATGAAAAACATTATCTTAAAAATTCATTATTCATCGAAAATGTTTTTCTTAAGACAATACTGTCCATAATATCATACATCTTATTCTTAAAAGCATTTAAAGGTTTTTCTAATTAATTTTACTTTACGATTCGGGGTAGATTTCCTATTTTACAAAAAAAATTAATGATTTGTATCCTCCAAGGACTGGTGTTTATAACTAATATAAATATTAGGTTCTACAAAAAAGAATTTCTCAAAATTTAATAAAATTAAATAGTGGGGATTAACAGATGTAAATAAAAATATTTTTATCAAAATTTTCTAAAAAGAAACATTTCTAAAATAAGTTCATTCATTTGTGAATAAGTCCTAAAAGTTTCATTTGAATTTTTGCAATAATTTCCAAATTAATGCTTCTCAGTGCAAAAGCAAGCTAAAATTCCTTATGCAAAATTTATGACAATCCGTTGACTCCAAAAAAAAATAAAATAAAATAACCAAAACTTTGAAAAAAAAATAGAATAACTAATATAATTTAATAATAAAAAAAAATCCTTTTGTCTTTCTTCCTAATAATAACATGAAGATTAAGTTTGGGGCATTTCTCATCCTGCATACTCACATTTTAGGAAATTTCTGGAGGTACCTATATATATATTAAATAGGGTGTATTTGGGAAGCAAGAATTCTTTCAACCATATCAGGTTGAATAATATCGACAATATGTTTATATAACTATTTTTGGTTAATTAGTTACGTAAACATACACAAAAATACAATTCTTGAAAACGAATATAGCAAAATTCGAAAGTACTTGTAAAAAATAAAGTAAAATAAAAATTAACTTTGTTAAATTTACCAATTATATAAGAATTCGGAAATTTGAAATTACATCACCAGGAGAAAATTATTCAGGACTTTAATGTATGTATATGGAGTAATGACTGTCTGTTTCCCTGGTACTTTAAATTACATGCAACCCCATATAATGAAGAACTTGGGAACTTTATTTGTTTTCTTCGTACGTTTCTTCTGAACGACACTAGACAATGTAGATTCTTGATTCATCACTAAATATCATTCTCATCATGTCATGATTGTTTTTCTTTAGTCCACTTTCGTCTGATTTTCTTCTGTTTCGGGTGTTAGTTCCGTTTCGCTTTTCTGTATGCAAATCTCATTTCATTCAACCGATTTCTTAATTCAAAAACTGACTCCTGTTTCGACCCGTTTGTTTTTCTTTTCTATTTTCAAGGAATCTTGTTTTGAGTTTGTTTTTTTATCCTGGCGCTTTGATACCTTGTGTAGTCTACCATCCCATTTCTTTTTCATTTTCACTAAACATGTGGATTACCTTCTTGAATGAGTGTTTCAATCTTGTGCCATTTGACAATTCTTTTGTTGTAGTCATGTTTCCTTTCAATTATCTATGCCCGACTGTTTGTTGAGGCTTGCATGATCTCACTTTTAACTATACACCGATTTGCATATCTTGGCTTCTGCTGGTATTTGTTTTAAGGATGCAATGTATTTAAGAGTGCAACGTATGTTTTAAGAATGGAAATTAAAAGATCATCCCATAATTTTTTCCTCGACATTTGGTTATTCTATATTTTCCTCTATAAGGCTTGAAAAACTATACCATTAATTTAAATAAGCTAATCTAGTTTCTTTAAGGTTTATTTTATGAAGTCAGAATGTTCAGCTATTATATAAAATATCTTATCTGTTTATTTACTGCTAAATGCAAAAAACCTAAGTGAACATGGTATAATTATGATAATTCTATCATTTTTTCCAGGCTCTTAGCATCAGTTATAATAGTTATAATCAGAATAGGTTAATAATTTAGTCAACATTTATTTATTTAGTTAATGTTTTCGTTTTTATTTTTATCCTGTTTATTTTGATTTATTGTTCTCTTGTAAAAGGAACTTTTTGCATACATTTTTGGAGGAGTTTAATTACATGTTATTTTACAATTCTAATCATTACAACCATAAATAGTGTTCTCACAAATAAATTAATAGGAAAATAAATAATAAGTGTTAATCTAGGTATATTCCAATTTAACTATCAGGCTTGTTATTATGCATAAATATTGAATTTTGCAAGTTTTACAATAACGCATAGTTAAAAAAGCATGTATATCTCAATTCTTATATATTGTGTCATTCACTAATCCGAAGGTGACAGGAAACCAACTATAGGTTAAAGTAAAATTCTTGAATGAACAAAAACTTAAAAAGACATAGAAGCGTTCAAGTTGCTATAGCATTTCTTTGATTTTTATCATGTTTTTAAAAATATATTACGGTTACAGAGATTTTTCAGTAACTTTCTTTTCGATATATACTGAGGAAATCTATTGTAAAAATTATTCTAATAGTATTTTTCAAAATGTCTGTGATATTGTCATTTTCGTCTGGTGCTTTTTTGAAGCGCAAAAAATTTCGTCTCTTCTCTCTAGAATACCATTCTTATCTGTTGAAATAATTTCTTCTTCTTCTTCTTCTTCTTCTTCTTCTTCTTCTTCTTCTTCTTCTTCGTCATCATATTCATCACGTGGGCGATCGTATCTTTCCAAAATTAGCCTTGCCACCAGAAGGAAGAATTGCTGTGAGAAGCTATATCCTGAGATCGGGCATCTCTCAATAATATTTTCAGTTTCTCTCCGCAAACAAAGATACAACGAAGTTACGCTCTGTTTGAAGACAGAGACACATCTGAGAGATAAAATGTAGTTTATTCATCCGAAGGCAGACACTACATGCGTCATTCGGTTCGAACAATCACCAAAATACCGCCTTTACATGGGTGACCTGATATATCCATGATATATTTATGCACAATTATTATTATTATTATTATTATTATTAATTATATGCAAATGTTGAATGATGAAATATATATAAAGTTGGTAACCATAAAATCAAATAGGTATTAGTAAGGTACAGTCCACCCCACAAAAATAAGAATGGTCATTGTATAGCTGTCAGGCAGAATCAAGTAACTCTCTCGCTAGTGGAAGGGGAAGGGCAAACAATTACGAGAGTAGAAAAGGGTGAAAAGCTGGTCGGATCAAGATAAAAGAATGGGGATAAAATAAACTTAGGTACCTCCTAAGTTTATTTTATCCCCATTCTTTTATCTTGAAAACAACCATAACAAAGGAAAGGGTCGTGAACAATAGTCACTCATATTAACTTGGAGAACAAATAGACTAGTTTAACCACGAGTGGTGTCAACCAGGAACCCACGCCGTTGTGACTTGAAGGGACTAAAAAAAGAAATCAGGTTTGGCCTGAGTCACGTGAACTAAGCTCACAACGTATACCCAACTTTTACTGAAATTTGCCTAAACCAATTGCTTTCTATCAGTTCTAATTTTCACTTGAGCAAATTCTTAAAGAATCCAATCAGATTCTGGTGAGGATAATGTTCGTTTTGTATGATTCCCTCCATTCGCGTCACCCACAACACCATTCCTGCCACAACAAGTAGCATGATAAACACAAATCATTTTACCCCAGACCACAGAGGCGAGACATTGTTGCACACGTACGCGAGATCGATGGACACAAGTTTTTCGAGACCGTCAGCGCACCGACATAGACCTCTAAATGGGCACACCAGTGGACAGTATAAGAAGGCCTGCTCGGCCGTTTCTTCCAACCCACGATCCCACCGGCAGTTGCCAGACATACCTGATTGTGATTGTCTGCCAAGCTCGCCTTAAAACCCACGTCATTGAGAAGCAGCACATTCTGAGCCAATCGCCAGATAAACGAAAATTCAGGTTTACTGAGATAATCCGTTGGCGCCCAGGACCAGAAAGAGTGCAACTCATCCACCGACAAGCCAAACCGGCCACATAGCGGGCTCGACGTGCCCTCTCCACTAATGTCCGATACATTGCCTTCCAGTGAAAGGTCACTGGACCGAAGAGTGACACGTAAGTCCCAACAATACTCATTGAATAAATCTTTCTGGCTTCGGAGCATACGACATGATTCAACCCCGGCTAAAAACGACTGATAGTAAGGCTAGGGAAGGTGATCCTAATATTCCTTGCCCACAAAGGATCCTTCCTTGACGAGCGGCGTAGAAATAGCAGCTTCGAGGCGTGTGAGTGACTCACTAACTGTGGCATTCTTACTCCCTATGACACAGACACTTGATACAGACCTTTTTATGGACCATTGGCCTGTCTACTACTCCCACAACAGGGGAGAAGTGCGCATCCAGACGATCGTCCGAGAGTACCGATAACCGATGAAGGATAAGACTGCACGCCTAAGCCCTACCCTTTAAGAACAATCATCTTCGGAGCAAAGTCCGACCTTTGCCTGTACCTCCGACCAATTCTCCTCCAGCCGAATGTCCGGCCGGAACGACACTCCAAGAATGCAGGCGGAAACGTCAGTACAACTGAAAAAAACCCGGAAGAGCAACGTCTCTGCAAGAGCCCAATTGCAAGTCAGGAAGACTTGTCCATTGTAACCTTCACCTACCTTCTGTAATGTCGCTGCGACACAAAAATGGATACATTGGCGTATACGGAAACTCTAGCTCGAGCCTTCCTAGGGAGACTAATTCTGCATATGGTCGGTCTACAGACCCTGTCCTTTAGCCTTTACAGGAAGGGCACCAGCGACAGAGCATAAATTAGGGCGACAACGGGCAACCCTGACGAACCGAGGTGAACCCAGACAGCACCGAGGTGTTCGACCGATTTCCGTTCACCTTACCTTAGATTCAATTTTCACATTGCCGCCTAAAAATTATACTTGTATCTTGATTCGTCAAAGAACCAACACCCGCGTAACAAAAAATTTCTATTCTCATTCCCCGACCAAATTAAACTATTTAGCTTATAAAGAGAGTAAATCAACTTTTTCAAAAGTTATTCAGCATCAAATTTTAAGTTAATTTAATATTTGTTTTTTTGATTTTGAATATATATATATATATATATATATATATATATATATATATATATATATATATATATATATATACATGAATAGTTAAATTTACTGACATGGTCTGTCAGTTTTTCTTTATATTTCGTCCAACTCAAAATTATGGATTTTCAATTTTCATATTGTTTTCTCATTTTGTTCAAGTACTTGTAACCATCTCAGTCATTATCAAAGAATGTTTATGTTGTCAGTATGGTATATATGCGTATTATTATTATTTATACGAATATTAAACATTTATTACACACCTTAAAATACCGTCTCCTCTGAGAGATATTTTATTTAATGTAGGCCGCTTCGTTTGTATAATAATAACTTCAAGTATTTTTGGTATTTTTCCCATTGAGTGCTATATAATATTTTGGTATTATGTACTAATATTTATCTTATGTTAATAGTTGTATTTTTTGTCATTTGAGATGTTGTAAGTGATATGTGAACGAAGGACAAGTTAATCCACGATATAATTTTTTTATTGTTTATACTGTGGGATGTAATCTCCTGAAGGACATGAGAAATAAAAAATAAAACAAAATTAATACACATTCGAACTAAATCTCCACTTTCCCTTCATTTAGTTCAAGAAGAAATCTACCGTGTTGAAGAAACAGATTCATGAGAATCAGAGACTTGAGGGTCCTCCACAAACTTTGAAATCCTACTCGGAACTCACAATGTGGTGGAAGTCAATAACACCATCAACATATCAACTCCACTGACCGATTCTACAACTGAGAGGGAAAACAACTGAAACAATTCTGTTCGTAAAGACCTTTATTTTCGCTAGGTAAAATTAAGAATCTCAAGAGACATTCAGTATTGTCCTAGGATGGCACCATCAAAACTGATCAATATGACAAACAATCAGTGTCCTTACTAATAGAATTTCACAGTCGAGTAACACCAGTAAAACGAAAAAAGCTGTAGGCTAAGAGGGCTAGATTGATTAACGAAATTTCCTGCCTCGGTGTAGCTGAAAGTGACCCATCTTATTGCAAGTGACACTGAAAGTACATTGTCAATAAGGTTTATTCACCGAATGAGAGCAGTGGTCAAGAAACATTTTTTACAACCTCAGGGTCTTTTAGCAGGTGACTGGAATGCCGTCTTTAATCCCGAATTAGACATAAGAAGTGTACTAACATTGAAAAATATGTCGTAAGTTGATCAAATTCCGAAAGTGACTAGAATGAACTTGGACATACAAAAGTGGGCTGAAAAATCCACATAGGCTTACTATGAAGGAATTATGTTAAAGCTGTGAAGTCTATTAATTCAAGTAAACTGATATCTGACGAAAAGAAGATTGTTCATCCTGTTGGCAAAAAATGTCATCAACAGCAGATATGACGTTATCATCAGTACGATACTGGTTCCCAGCCGAGTGTTGTTTTTTTCATGTTGGGGAACAGATGATAGTGAATGAATAAGGAGAATAAGTGATCAACCAGTTCAAAGCCGCAGTCACGCACAGCAGCCATTGAAACCAAGGGCTTGTATGCTGGGGCATTGTCCTGATGAAACGAGACCCCTTCCATTTATTTTCTTGGGCGTTTGGTCTGGATAGCATTTCGTAACTGCCTCATAAAGTTGGGCTACTACTATCGATTGATGGTGTGTCCCTTTTGAAGAGAGTCGATAAGCACAATGCCAAAAAAGGCAATCACCGTCCCTGCAGATGAAAGAACCTTGACTTTCTTTGGAGTAGGTTAGGAGGGGTGTTTCCACTGACTGAATAGTGGATTGTTTCTGTTTCTGGCTCAAAAAATCTCACACACATCCTGGGTTAGAAAATTTTCAAGGAAACCAGCTGGAAACCTCAAAAAATGTCAAATTTTCCCTGTTGCGATTTTGATCAACTGTTTGAAGACGTCACACCCACCGAGCAAAAAAAACCCGTTATGCCAAGTTCATTGAGAATAATATTCTCGGGGTAAACTGATTTATAGTCAATCGCCTGTTATCCATCACCATATGGTGAACACGATCAATGTTTTCCTCGGTGGTGGCAGTTGCAGGACGCCCAGACCTTGGTTCATCTTCAAGCCCACCCCTTCTTCTCCTAAACTCACCTGCCCCTTTTTGCACTGTTGATAAAGCTGCAGCGTTATCATCTAATCTAGCAACCATGTTAGCATGAATGTCCTTCTTTTTTTTTTTTTAGAAATACTTGATAACACAGCGATGCCAAATTTTGTCCATTTTCAAGTGAAGTCGCTACTGGTTACATTTGAAGTCTTCTTTGAACAGTCAGATATCAGTCAGATATCGGAAAAAAACAATACAGTTATTAATAAGAATAGTTGAAATTAATGCATGCAAAATTTAATAGCTTTAGCATCACTCTTTTATAGTAGCCATTTTAAACCCACCTTCGTATAGTAGCAATTCGTGTTTTAGTTGGGAAAGATGAGTTAGGCATTAGTTTAATTAGGCTGTCTAAATTGCGAGTTGACTGTGGTGAGGTTGGAGGTAATGACGCTGTGTTGAAGGAAACCATTCACACATCTATATCTTTAACCTTTACTGACACACTCTGTACTTCCAGTCCTGTACACCAATCTAACTGCGCTAGAGAGAGCGGTGTGTATTTTTTTCTTTTATTTTTTTTATATTTTTATTTTCCCCAAGTACTTTCAGTCTCATCAGAGATCATCTTCAGAGGCGAATTGCTAAGATAAAAAATTAATATAACTGATAATTTTGATTTTTTGTAAACACGCATGAACTCGCTCTGTTATAATTATTTCCATACTAACTGTAGAAGCTATGGGGTTTTTGATCTAACTTATATAATTGTATCCTATTCGATTTTGTTCAGAAACATTTTTTAAAATATTGCTATTATAAACATTTTAAAACATTGTTGCTATACTCATAAGTAATCTTATTTATTGTTGTTTGCTTTCTCCTTATATACAGGGTCTCGAGAATTTGAAGTTTTTTTTATTTTCATGATGTAGTATACTAGTATTATCAACAAGTACTTTTCTGAAGGCGAACAGGAATATATATATATATATATATATATATATATATATATATATATATATATATATGCGTGTGTGTGTGTGTGTACGCGCATTCTTGTGTGTGTTTCAGTATGAAATCATATAACCTCCGTTTAAGCACTAATAGAAATAAAGTGATTTCTGGATTATTTAAAACCCAATTTCCTTAACTTTCAGCTGCTGTCAGCCAACAGATTTTGGTCTACAAAAAGCGGTGATTCGGTGCCAAGGCGGGATGGAATTGCGGAAGGTCGTGAAGTTTGCCATCAACTGCCATTGTCGACCATGCATCTTGAAACCGAGGGTCACCCTGGCTGACCTGCGACATATGTTACACTTGTCTAATAGTCGAAGCCGTTGGGGCAATAAAGGCCTTGGTAACTTATTTCGAGGTTGAGTGAAATATTTACAACACAACAAACGAAACAACATAAATTCAAATGAATAAGCAAAAATAAACAAGAATGAAAAGCATACAAAAAATAAAGCAAAGAAAAGAAAGGAAAAACAAAATAAGAAAATGATTAACAAACGAAAACAGTCCCTAATTTTCCCAATAATTAAGCTTCTTTTGATTTCTCTCCGCTTTCTTGATTGCTATCCAGTGATATTTCAGTTTTTAGTTATTATTTTTATTCTGTAAAGGGCAGAAGGATATATTATGCCCACGTTAAGAAACAAAAGCGTTTTTCTTTCTTCTGCCTCTACCACCATTCTCTCTCTCTCTCTTTATTTTGGGTCTATTCTTTTAACTATCCTCCCTAGCCTAACCTCCTTCATAAGAAATATTTTATCTCTTAATCTTAAATGCAGTTTTCCTACGTACACAGTTCGTTTAGAACAAAATGGAAAACGAAATATCATATATAGTTAAAATAACGGAAAATTTTCACTCGAAAAAAAAGAAAAGAATGAAGTCATTTTATTTTACTTCCGAGAGTTTTTGTAACGTAAAATAAATGAAAGAATTTCATAAGAATGACTATTTAAATAAAAAGTAGAAAAATAACATGCAAATAGGATGAAGTAAACCCAATTCTTCCCCAACTGAAGCCAAACAAGCCCTTGCACCATCTAACAAAACCCTTTTCTCTTCCTGCAACAGAAACGTAGAACACTCCATTTGAACAAATATTTTCTCATTTATTTCGCGATATAATATGCACTTGACCACGTTACTTATATAAAGAATTAATTATCTTTGTTTATTGTGTTAATTTATTAATTGTGAATAAAATTATATTTTGTTGTGTTGGCTGTCGTGCAGTTATTCGTTTTACTGAATATAAAGTACACTGGATGTTAAAACGTTAGCAAAATTATGTTTTATTACCTCAAACAATTCTTTGAGAAGACACACTAGATAATAAGAGAGATTTATTACATTCTTCAGTTATATATATTTTCCTTCAAAAGCATTTTACCGGTGAGAAACAAGTCTCTTTTTCTAATCTCTTTTCACAAATGAACCAAACATTTTCAATAGTTCCACGTGCTATTGAACTCACGTGGTATTGAACTCACACTCTTTGGGTCAAAGAGTGTGAGTTCAATACCCGGCTAAGGCAGTATAGAACTTTCAGAGGGAAAGTAACAGGAGATAACTGACATCCATTAAACAAGGCACGTGGAACTAGAACAGTCTACCCCAGTGAGCGAAATAAAGGGTTCAGTTCGACATTCCAACCACCTGAAGAAGGCCGAAACGTTGTAATAAATATGGCGACAAAGATGAGGACAATAGTCCGAATAATGTAAATAATATGCATAATAGTATTCGTTATAATTTCCAGAACACGCTAATTTTATCAGAATTACAGAAATTTATCGGAAAGATTTTTGTTTGTCACGTATAAAATTATGTCCGGAGTTTGTCGTTAACATTTCTTATTGGTTGAACGGTGTATAAAAGCTTCGTTTCTTTGACTATATTAGAGTATTAATTATTATCTGATATTATTTGACCATATTAGCATAGTAATTAACCTGTTCAGTAAACGAGATCATCCCATAGAAAACTAGACAAGGAAAAAGGAATGGATGACAGATAAAATTTTTGACAAAATAAAGAGGAAACATTAAAACAATGTCAAGATATAGCACAGAAATTAAGCAGACAATACAGGAATGGCTCAATGAAAAGTGCGCAGATATAGAAAGAATGAGTATTACGGATACATCAGAAATGTATAGAAGAATAAGAGAACACACAGTACAAAAGACATGCCCATCAGCAGGATGCATAAAAAGCAAGGAGGTGACACTAATAATAGAAAAAGAGAAACTATTTCAGATATGGAGCGATTATATCGTAAAACTGTTCCACGATGAAAGAAGACGATCTGCAGTACACAGTAATATGAAAGGAACAACAGTATTAAAGTCTGAAGTGAAATCAGCACTGGACAAATTGAAGAACAACAAAGCAGGTGGAATGGAATTGTAATAGAGGTGATGGCAACTTTAGAGGATTTCGGCATTGACAAAATTACAAACATACTAAATGAAAATTACGACAACGATGTTATACCGGAATACCTAAATATATCCATTTTTATAGAGCTGCCTAAGAAGCCAGGTGAAAAGAAATGTGAACTTCACCGAACAATCAGACTAATGAGCCTCATAACAAAATTTGCCATCCGAATTCAGGAGAATAAGACTGTAAGTAGCACAAGAACAGTGCATCTTCGTTTAAGACACTGGAATAAAGAGTATGATATTGATATTTATTTTATTAAAAATACAATTATGGCACAAGTCCGAAAAGGGGAAAAGGGTTGAGGTTGGTCTTGCCTAGCTAATCCGATTCACGACCCATTCACTCGTTACAATTATAGAAAGAGTGTGATATTTATACTAAGAATTATACCTGAAAGAGCAATACTAATGCGAAGATGCATGTTTTTTGTTTTATAGATTATGCAAAAGCGTTTGACACGATACATCACAAAAAACTATTACAACTGCTTCATTTATTTGAGAAGGATATTAGAATAATCCAGAACTTATACTGTCAACAAAACGCCTGCATACAGACAGAAAATGAATTCAGTAAATACACAAAAATAGAAAAGGAAGTGAGACAAGAATAATCAAACTTTTGCAGTGAAGCAATCCTGAGGGGATTCCTTATTGGTGGCCATAACCTTAAGAACATTAGATATGCAGGAATATAGCAAAGGAACGCAAGATGAAAGAACATCAACTGTAAGAAAACAAAATGCTTGGATATCAGTAAAAAAAACAAAAAAACAAAACAGCCCAACATACGAAGGCGCATTGGGATAGCTAAAGATGCTTTCCAGAAGTTAAACAAAGTATTAAGAATCAGAAAAATTTAATTGAAAACAAAAAAAAAAAAAAGAAAGAGTACTGAACTGTCATGTAATATCGATATTTCTATATCACGGTGAATGCTGGACCATCTCATTGCAGATGGAGAAGAAGCTTGAGGCAATAGAAATGTGGTTTTATAGGAAGCTATTGAAAATACCATGAACTGAACACGTGAACAACGATAAAGTTTTAGAGAATATGGAAATGAAAAGAACAATTATTGTAGCACCAGAAAGAAATAGTTGAAATTTCTAGAGTGTATAATAAGGAAATGGGGATTGGCAAATTTGTCACTCACATGACATATTGAAGTCAAGAAGCAGCGCATGACCCCTTGCGTAACGAGCTCGTGCAAAACGTTGGCAGATTAGGAGATATAGCAAAACAACAAACTTTACTAAAGACTACAAAGAACAAGAATTTGTGGAGAGCTACGATCGCCCATCTACTGAAGGGGCATGTCATGTAGAAGAAAAAGAATATGTTAAATATGAAGTTAGGATAGGAACTCGCATAAATATACAATATTTTGGCATTGTTACTGAAAGGAAACTGAACGTAGCTACGCGAATAAATTTAGAGCCTAATGATGAAAAAAACACAACAAAGACTTATTTTTAAAATAATCTCCTCCACTCAAGGAATTAATTCAGTGGTAACTATTTATAAGCAGTATACAATGAAAATCGAACATAAAGTGAAAATTCCATGTTAAAATTCAGCTTCTGTCACGAATTTATTCATCTAGTTTCGTATATATATATATATATATCAAGAATAAGAACTGAAGTGAGAAAGATTTGAGGCTTTGGAGCAATTTTCAATTTAAAATAAGGCTTATCATTTTGCACAGAAACCCGTTTGTTACAAATATAACTATTGGCACTGAACTATGGTTCCATTTTAGGGTGAATTATTTATCTACTTTACAATTTTTAGATTTGTATGTCTCAATGTTATACACTGATTTAATCGGATCTGCTTGTGTTTGATGATACTGTGAGCTAATGGCTGAAATAAATCTAGAGTAGTGTGATTAAATAATACGAGGAGGTAATGAAAATTTCTTGGTCAAACCAAATAGGGATTTTAGTCCTTTATTTAGCCTTTAGGAAGAAGTGAGTTGGGTTGAAAATTCGTAAATATAGTTTTTATTAATATAAAAAAATAATGCCTGCTTTTATTTCTTCTCCTTAGGGAGAATATATTCGATTCGCGGCATTTGGTATATATATTTCCTCACATTAGTCACGAAACGCATGAGCTTCAAAATTTAAGACTTGATAAAGTCCCCAGTAAGATAAGAGTTTTCAGTTATTGATTGCAGCATTTGCTTTTCTATGTAAAAGATATAGCAAAAAAAAAAAAGCAGAGTTTATGTCGATGTTATTTACATGAAATCTGACATGAAAAGCCTCTGAAGCATAGAGCATTTTACTGCTGATATATAAAATTTATTTTACAATCGGAATACAGGCATTACAAAATTATATCTTGCTTTCCCCGTGTTTATATTTATTGAAAACTTATCAGGCGAATTGCAATAAATCTTCCTATGTTCAAACAGGGAAAGATAATGCCTTTTCTATTTTTTCGTCTTGGATGTAAGTTAATGATCTTCCTATTGGACACTATAGTTGTTTAATAAGCTTTGTGTTTTTTGGAACATTGACACAAGTATGGGGCATTAATGTGAATCAAACGCACTACTCAATGGTAGTAGTCAACCAAACTAACTGATTAAACATTACAAGACACCGAGAATACGCTACTCCTCCTCCTCCGCCTTCTTCTTCTTCTTCTTCTTCTTCTTCTTCTTCTTCTTCTTCTTCTTCTTCTTCTTCTTCTTCTTTATGTGCTGTGTCCCCTCAGATCATGGGTATCTTCGTAGCTCTTAATAAATTTTGTCTTTTTGTTGTTTCTCTTTTCCCGTCATCCATTTACTCAAGCTCATGCGCTGTTTTCCTCTGTCCGTCTTTCTCTCTATCTGACCTGTGAGTATCAGATTTTCCAAGCCCTCTTTCTTCATTATGCACCCTAGAAATTTCAACTATGTCTTTCATATTAAGTATAAGTGTCCTTTTTGTTTCCATTTTCTCTAAAACTTCGTCGTTGCTCACATATTTAGTCCATGTTATCCTTAGCATCCTTCTGTTGAATTATATTTCTGTTGTTTCATGTCTTCTTCTTCGTCTTTGAGGAGATTGTCCAGCATTCACTGCCATATAGAAAGACGGATATCACGTAACAGTTCAGTAATCTTTGTTTATAACAAAGTTTTTTTTGTTTCTTAATACTCTGCTTAGCTCTTGGAATTTGTCTTTGGCTATCCCAATGCGCCTTTGGATTTAAATGTCACACTTTCTGTCTTCTGTTAAAACACTTCCCAGATATTTAAATTTTTGTACTTGTACTTATTTTGGTAT